AATAAGTGACCACATCCTGTGAACTTCTTCAGTCCTCTAGACCTCCGGCGGTCGAGGAAATCCGTAACGCTTAATATTGAAGCCGTTATTTCCGTCGACTAGGAATCTCCCAGCCGGAACTCCCGAAATCTTAAATATGGACATGTATTGCTCCTTAAAAGCGTGTAGTTGCGAAGTCGGCACATTATTTGGCATACATTCCTGTGCTTCTTCCAGTTTGGGCGACATTTTGTTTAGTTGACCTCGCTGATACCGCTGATAGGGCTCCTTCACGAGCGATGATCCACAGCGGCGGGCCTAGTGAGGTCGGTCGACTTTCTTCAGGGACGAAGGCCAAATGCTGGGGGTCCTCTTCCTCACGTTGACAACCATTAATTGTGAGGGATGCCTTCTTGAAGTCGGATATGCAATTCAGAGACACGTTTTCAGCGTTTATTGCTACTCTGACAGATTTGGTGACGTCTTTTTCCGAAACACCACATCCTTTACACCATCAGTTTCAACCAACAATGTCGTCAGCACAAGGGAGGCCTGTCTACCAGCTTAATGCTGCAAAATCGACGTAGTCAAGACCTTAACGACTTGAGGGCCTTTCAGGCTATCAAGCCAATGATGTGACTAGTGGGGACATTTGCTCGCAGTTTGGACACCAAACAGCTTTAATCAGATTCTATAGTTGCGCGCCTGTGTGCCTTAATTTTATTTCTGCCTGCCTGTAACTGGCGTCCACGCGACATCATTGTTTGCATCAAAATCGTTTCAGGCGAGTGCTGAAATATTAAGGTTAACCAGCCTATTTTTAGCGTTCCCACCGCTTAAAGTAACGTGCATCCATAAGCTCATCACTCGCCGTCAGATCAGCCAAGTTGGCGCGCGCCGTGTCAGCCACGACTGCGCTCCGGTCGTCGGTACAAAATAAACATTTACTGGCACTTCTACTTTTTAACATGACCGACCTTTGCATTATGCATGCTAAAGTATACCCACCATCCTAGACGTTACTTTCTGTGGTGATAATCCTCAAACCCCGGGAATTACGCATCTTAAACTAGCATGTAGCGGTCAGATCACACTACTGGGAGTAACTAGAGGTCATTGTTACATGATTGCTGGCCGTTCAACGGTTCTTCGTCAAATATTCCAATGTAGCCCATTTCGTATTTTCGTAGTGTCTGGGCAGCCCGCCTTCACAGTTTATCATTGAGACCTCATGAGAGCTTGGAATCTGGCTTGCCTTACATAAAAGCATCCATTCGAAGTCCGGGGGGGGGGGGCAGGATTGACGGTTGGTTCTGACCCCAGCGACGATTTACTCTTAATATCGGTACAGGCCAACTTTCGGAGGTTGAAGTCCTAGCTGATTACTGAGCCACGGAAGTGTCGGCAGGTACCTCTACACAACTGGAGAGCCTGTAAGATCCGGGGAAACAACTTTGTCCGAAATCTGCACGCCAACCGTGGTGGAAGGACAAATCCAACTCGTCAAAAACATGTACTTACGAAAGTCATACTTCCTTCCATGGTCATGGTGGATTGGTACGCAAAGGACTGTGGCTAACCAAACGGTCAACCAAAGTGAGGCAAGTCTTAGTTACGACAATGCTTTCTGGACCCAATTAGGCACAAGGGAAGTTTTTTTCGGCTTCAGCCAATCACCGTTGTCAGCGGTAACAATCGTCCTGTATGCAGTTTCAGGTGGACAACCCGCCCCGGGTTGGGTCCATACGGCGGCGGAACCCGTTGAATGTGACTATAATTCATGGGTAGATGGGTTGTGCGCCCGAAAGACTGGAAAGATCGGTCCCAACAGGAATTAATTCGGCCCGTATACGTAGGTGCGTCATTAAATTCTCGAATCCCGATACTCGACCTCCGTTTTAAAAAGCGCCTGAACTCATGTCCACCGTCATCGCCTTTGCTTTGTAATCTCTTAGAATTATCACAACAAGAAATTCTAGAGAGGCGGATTAAGTCTAGGGAACAAATGTTTCTTATGGAGAAGGAGCATTCTGCTGTTGACTCTAGTATTGCTTGGCGACTGGTCCGTGCCATTCGACTGATGGTTGCGGTTTTCCTGGAAAAAAAGACCTTATAGTCAGTAACCCAGGACACATTTTAGCTGCTTTTGCAAAAGCCTGCCTACCAAGAGTGATGTCGCCACTTAGAAGACGATATTCGGACCGTTGTCCTCCGCATTTACTGTAATCCGCGGCGCCACCGAGTCGGGTCGTAGAAAAAGTACACAAACAGCATGTTACTATCGAAGTAGAGCACTCCGACTGTGATAAACTGATGAATGTGGGATTATCCATCGCCATCACTGTCCCTAGCTTAGGTGAAGTATGTGTGCTCTTGCTTATTTACCCACCCCACACACGCCAAGCCAATGCAAGAGGGATTGTAGTGCTCACAAAACGCCGAAAATACAGTCGTTAATTTCCTCTTAGGGGACAACAGGAACTGGGCAGTTGGTCCAAGTAGCCAACATTACACTTAGATTATGAGTGTTAATGATGTTCGACCCCACTGCGGTTTTACGCTGCTAAATCAGGAGTCAGGGAGACAGTAGACTCCACAGCCATTGTGGAGCCAGAACGCACAAGCGGCTGATAGCGAGTGCTGGCAGCGGCATGTGTGTGACTAGCGCCTGCTATAAGCTCCTGAGGGTCATTTTATTGCTCGGCTTTGGCGACCCCGCACGAAGTAATTCTTTGTGGTGGAGTTTAGAGAAGCGGTGAACGCGTGTAGGCGGATCGATACCCGTTTGCAATGACGGGGCGCTCGAGGTCTTCATGAAAGTGCATTATCACCAAGTGTCCGATAATTCTGGTTTGCTGGCCGCAAGCTGGCTACAGGCCTGGGTGCTAACTACCTGTTTTTGAGGACTGTAGGATGGGTCAAAGGGGCCTGATGGACAAATAGTTGTCAACTAAGTGATGGCAAATGCTGAAAGCGTTAGCCTGTCCTGTCTTGGGCTTGAGATATTGAAGACGACTGTTTACACTGGAGTCCTCGCTTTCTTGATGCAGGTCTCCCTGTTTTTAAGTCGAGGACGGTGAAAAGCAGCATTTTGCTTTGATGTTCTTCATGAATTGGTGGAAGTGTGCTGGCGTCTAGTATAACTTTTCGCTCATGAGAAGCGATAAGCGGAGGCTGGAAGCCACACCGACCGCAGCGCCCAACTTTGTTACCAGTCCGCTGTCAGACTTGAACAGAAACTTAGTGCATGGATGACGAAAGGAGGTTTATCCGGATCAGGATGTACAACAAAATGCACGGCCAATCGTACATACCTTTGAAGGTTGACAGCTGATTGGGTAACTTGGTTCTGCCCAGGACTGAGGGTCAACCTACAATAGATCTTCCCTGATGTGGCCTTTATGGTAGTCGTGCTTACGGTAGACCCTAGATTCTGCCTTCTGAACGGAGCCTGATACGTGTGTATCACACATAGGCGAGATGTTTAGTCATATCCGTCTCCGCGCCTACGTATAAGCTCGGCCCTGTCGACTTTGACATGCCAGCTCAGCACCGTATGTGTGAATATATATATTTTTAGCGGAGCATGTCTGCAAAACACTTACCCCACTCTCTCTTCTCACACATACCGTGTTGAGCTGGCATGTCAAAGTCGATAGGACCGGGCTTATACGTAGACGCAGAGACGGATATGACTAAACATCACGCCTATGTGTGATACACTCGTATCAGGCTCCGTTCAGAAGGCAGGATCTAGGGTCTCCCGTAAGTGCGAGTACCATAAAGGCCAAATCAGGGAAGATCTATTGTAGGAATATATATATATATATATATATATATATATATATATCCCATTTTCTCCCGCCTCTCGTTACGGCTCAAGTTGAACTTTTGAAACGCAGTTGGGCGTCTTAAGCGTCCTTCAGTTACTTTAGGTTTATGCCTTCTGAGTCTCAAAAGTCAAATGCTGGACACGAGCCTCCTAACCCGCCATTCAACCAGTAATCAGGAACACCAAAGCATATTCTCGAAGCAAGCTGGTGAATTTTTATTGGCGACAAGGTCACCATAGTCGGAATTCACAAGCAGACAGAGCAGGGTGTCTAAAAATGACGAGGATCCGATAAAATAAAAACGGATGTCTCTGCCGTTAAACCAGGCGAAAAAAATAATTCAGTGATCCGGTATTCCATCGTTGTGAGCTACTGGCTTTGGTGCGTCATATGTCGTGACAACCTCAGTTATAAACGATAGCGCAGCCAAGCAGGACCGATCATGCGATAACAGGTGCATCTTCCCCACTATACAGTTGATTCTGTTCATGCTGGACACTGGCCCACCGGGTCATCTGCGTATTTAGGAGCAACGATAGGGTGTAGGACCCCCAATTAACTTGAGTTAGCCTGCGGACCGTGTCATACGTTGAATGGTGACAGAGGGGGGTTTTGTGGGTGAGGAAATGCACAAGACGGAGAGCAAGAAGACACAGAAAACAGATAAATTTCTGTCGAAAGTCTTATCGTACGCTGTCATTTGGCAAAGAAAGTTAGCGTGATAATTAACAAATTAAACGAGAAACAATTGCCGAAAATAACGGACTTTGAATAAAGCGCTGCTGGTAAGTTTACATTTATTCAAGAAGGAAAGAAAATTTCAAACAATAGGGACGGTGAATAGTAAGCGATGTTGGCAGTCACACTGAATTTTAGGGTCTATTTTTGGAGTTGCCATCTGCTTAAAGGTCTCTCACCCTATCATTACCTATTTAGGTCAAGTCTTGGCGAACAGAAGTGCGTCATATGGGTTACTGCGAGTTTATTCCGCTTATTTGGGCCGCTGCCCCGCTCACTTGGACGGTGCCTATTTTCAGTCAGAACTCAGAGCGACTCTGCTGAGAGGATAGTCTGCGTCTTGGGCAGACAGGCGGTGGCCTGGTCTCTGAAAGTTCAGTCAATTCGTCTGCATAAATCTGCAGCCGGTATGCCAGCGCGCAAGCTGAGTACGCCAGTGAAGTGTTGAGGATGATGGCGCGATCCTTCACTAGGAAGGACGGAATTGTCGCTTCTGCCGCTGCCGCTGCTGCTGTTGACGACGACGACGACGACGACGACGATGATGATGATGATGATGATGGCGGCGGCGATGATGTAAACCTTAATAATGAGCAGCGTCCTGGCGGCGGAGAGCGGTTAAAGCAAAGGTTGATGGGATCAGGAGGAATAGAGTAGCAGTTTAAATGCTTATTGATTCCTCGATGTTTGTTGAATAGCTCAAAATGACACCAAACAATCTGGTTGTGCATTCGCTGGCCAGAAAATGTGCTCATGGAAAACTACAATAACGCGTACGATGCGACAGAAAGAGTAGTTTCAAGGTCGTTAAGAAGCATCTAAAAATCAGAAAGATGAATCTAGATGTTGAATATGCCCCTTTTAGTTTTCCCCCAGTAGGTTCGGATAACTGGACCAGCCGCCTAGTCGGTCTGAAACGTTTTGGCACAATTTGAGTTGATTTACTTGAGTTAGCTCTGGTGTAGACCCAAGCAGGGTTGGGGGACTTAGTGAAATTTTGATTTCTGGTGGTTAAATACTTTCTCCTGAGCGTGTCGCCGTTGGTCATTATCAGCGGCGGGCCCAGTTGAGTCAAAATCAGTAAGTTTTCCTCGCATCAAGGTGGACTTATTGCCATTGACGGGGGACAGTTATGCTTTATCCAATAATAGTTGACATGAGAGGACCCCTAATGAGAGTACCAATTCTGTTTACGAACCCTTCGTGAAGGCAATTAAAATGCCAATCTTTGGTCTCCACTCCCAGCCCTTCCTCCTAAGGACATTCCGGGTCGGGTGAAGAGCAGTCCCTTGCTACTCTACACGGTCATTCCGGTTGACCGTGTCCAGCTGTTCTCCGGACACAGGTTCACGCAAGTGCTTCCTGTCGTTGAACTGGATTCGAGAGTTATGAAGGTCCAGATGGTGTTTCGTGGTCCCACCTTATGTTTCGACTCAATAGCATCTGGCTACAGTCATTATCGTCTTTCGAGCCGAAAGTCTGTACTCGCCCGTGTGTGGTCATGAAAAGTTTTCCGAGGAAGATCTTCCCGCCTGCACCAAAGACTAGCCTGCAAATGAGTTTACCGTTTGCCTTGTCTTCAGTCAGACTTCTGATTTTCGTCGGTCAGCTCCTGGTGATGCCGGAGACCCCACCAGCGGCCCTCACTAATCAAGCTACAGATTCTCCGCATAATGTGTCTCTGTTGTCGTGTAAAGGAAATACTGCCAGGATTGGTTAAGCTTCAGACTCCCATTCGGCCCCTTAATTCCCTCAGATAGTCTTATCCGATTCGCTGCCGCCAGTCGGCCTATTCTTTGCTTGTTTTCTTTTCCGTCCCTTATTCTTACCTCCAGAGCATGGGCATTCAACGCCCCGAAAAGCTGGGCTTGAAGTGCGAATGCGGGTTTGTGAGGGCAAAGGTCGCTGAGGAAGCTTTTGACGCCGTCGTGATATTTACCTCGAGCAACCAATACTGTTGCGCTCTATTTGCCTGTTGGCAGTACCTGTAATGTCTTTATCCTTCCTTCGCCTCCCAACCACCTCCAATTATATTGGCAGATACTTCTTCCCTTGGAAGCCTGTAAGTTGGCATTGAAGACCATCAACAAAGTAAGCGGTGGTGAAAATTTGCTTACTTTCATGCATTACGTCACTGCTAATCAACATTGAAGGTAGAATAGTCGGGTGTTTTGCGCCATGTAGTTAATGAGCAATAGGTTGTTCTTTCGGATTGGATCTATTATGAAAAAGTGGGCCGAGAGGTAAAGTGTACCAGTCCCGCTGAATCATAAGTGAAGGTTAACCTCGACATGAAAAAAGGCCTTCACGTGTGATTCGAAAGCACTCGAGGACCAGCATCTACAGTGTCACTGGGGCGCCGAGTGTCGAGGTCTGGCTCTATAAAGAACAACGAAGCACCGTGATCTGAGGACCCTGGATCGCCGCTCAAAAACTCCGCTTGTCACGTTTGTCTCGCTATTAAGGTCCGCCGATCCAAAGCGCTAGTGAGGCAACTTCGAACAGACAAACCAGACTGTTTACAGGCGGGGGCCCGCGGCATGGTTCGATTACGCTTTCCTGGTCCCAAGTGTAAGCGCAATGGAAGGTAAGTAAGCCGAAGGGGGATGCTGAAATCGTTAGTGGGGAAAGTAACTGAGGCTGAAACGGAAAAGGACAACCTGATGTATGACAAATCTGCCTAGAGTCTCCTAAAAAGACCTGACTTACAGGACACGCGGAACAGCAATACCCCAAACCTAACGGTAAACCGCAGAAGTAAACTTAATCCTCAACTTGATTATACACCTAGCGCTAGCCATAGACCTACCGCAAACCCCAACCCTAAGTCTAACCTTAACCCTGACCCAAATTCTAACCTTAATCCTAACTCAAACCCTGTCCCTGACCTTAACGGTGACCCTATACTCAAGCCAACCTTAAAACTAAATGTTAATCTAAACCGTAATCCAAACACTAACTGTAACCGGAACCCTTAAGCTCAACACAAACCCTAACTTTGAACTCAGTTCACAGCCTGAGATTAATCCAAACCCAAAAACTAACCCCACCTCTGAACCGAAACATCAGGCTGCCCTTTCCCAGTTTAGCTTTGGCTACTTTCCCACTAACGATTTCAGCCTCCTCCTTCGGCTTACTTTACTTGCGATGCCCACATTGTGCTTATATTTGGGACGGGGACGACGTAACCGACCCCTACCGTCGTCTCTGTCAACAAGTATTAAGTAACTTCATGAAATGAGTGTCTGCTATGCCGTTGTGATCCATGCTGTAGAAGTCCGCGGCAACAGTGGCCCTGCCTGGGAGTGCAGACAGGTATTGAGTAGGGAGCAAGTCTTAGCCGATGATGGAGGGACTCCTCATACAGAATGATGGGGTGCTAAAATTCGCCAACTATGGTACCAAAAGTCTGACGACGGAAGTCTCCGAAAGCGATCGTTTACTGTTGGCGGCATCACAATCGTCGCAAAAATCTGTATGCACAGAAATTCTGTCAGCTCAGCTGTTGTCGACGGTTTTGGATGCTAGACAGTACCGCGAGAAGAAACCGCGGGGTTCCCACTGTAGCTATCAGAGGGCGATTCTCTGAGTGAAGCTATAGGTGTTTACCAAGTCAGACGCAAGTGTTCAACAGTTGGTAAAATAGTCTATCCTCTGGCGGGATGCATACAGGCAGCTTGGAGGCTAGCAGCAAAAACTGCCCAACCAATCGCAAAACCAAGAAATGTCAAAGTAGCGTCACTTTGTCGCCACGTCGGGGTGCGGGCAGACCCTAGACTGGCAGGACATGTGAACTGAACTAAGGGGCTATATAAGTAGGAAGAGACACTCACGACTAAGAGGATGGACTGCCACAGTGCCCCATTCGTTACTATAGACCATCAAACCTGAAAGGTCCATGCGAAGAAGCACTCGCGATTACGATAGCAGACTTTCACAAAGTACATGAACTTTGTCTCCAGTCGGGGAGCCTACTCGATGTGACGGCACCAAAAGGACGTTTCAGACTCTCCAAGAAAGACTGCTAATGTGATTTAGGCTCACCCCTTTAATTTTGGTGCTGCTTCTGTAAACGCAACACTATCGCCGCATTAGATGCTGCGAAGAGGCGTTCAGCTGAAAACTTTGTATCACACAGTTCTTCTAGATAGTGGGCCGTTATTTGAATTCTGATATTAAGCCTTCATCGGTGAAGGCGAAAATGGGTTGTGTTCATTAAGTGCGCTGCAACAAACAGTTTTTCATGAAGAGACGCTATATGCAACATCGCTGAGGTCGGATTGATCAGGCATGAACACAGCCGGACCACTTACAATGCAGACAGGGGGCACCGAGACGGAAGCTACTGAGATTGAATCTCTAATAATAAAAACGCGGTTTACGATCCTTCAACTAAATAGCAAACGGAGAAAGAAATCGACCGAATTTGAGGAGTTGTCATCAACAAAATTTAAGTTGATCAGTATGGTGTCGGGTGGTAATTTTTCTTAAGAAAATGGTAACACTGTTGTCAATAACATGTGTGAATAAAAGTTGCCAGACTGTACATAATTGCGGAAGTAATTATTGTGCCGTATAGTTGCTTCGAAGCTGAATAATCGCAGAGTGGGCGCAGAATGTGCTTCAATACCCAGGGAGACGGATCGCCCTTCCGATGATGATGACTTTGTATGGTATTATGGAAAGCCGAGGAGGAGGCATCATTTTAGTCTAAGACCATCAGGAGCGCAGGTTTTTTTCAAGGCCTAGATTTTTCATTGTCCCCACTGGAGTAGAAACACGATTAACACTCGCACTTTTCGGAAACCCACCCTCCTTAAATAGCGGAATCATGATGATGTGCGAAATGAAACTTTTAACTCTGCGTCATCGAGTCCCGATGTAAGTTTGGCAAAAATTTTAGTTAATATTCGTTCCGCTGGATTTAGACTCCCTAACACGCATTCAGCATACTGGGTCCCTTTTTAGAGAAGCCATAATTTTTATCGAGAATTACGGTTTCATGTCTGCGGGAAAACTAGGAATGCTCTATCATTTACTTACCTCTATAAATATCTTGAAAAAATAAACAGCAAACCATTGGCGGCTATCTTCCCTTCATCCTACTTTTGGGGTGGCTACACCGGATAGATTACACACACATGCACACATACACGTTTTAAAACTTCACAGCGACGAACAGGACGGTAGGGGGATCCTCGTCCCAAACCAACCATATAGTCGTCTACGCCTAGGAATATTAACTTCACCCGTACCGACTGGCCGTGTGGAAGCCAGAACGCGCCAAATGCCGGAACTATGCACTAACACCAGCCGATGCCAACTCACAGAGAACAAGGTGGTTTTCCGATTGGTCGAACACAAGCCCCCGCCACTGTGTTTACTTCTGAAGCGATGAAACTTGTGGACAACAGAATGCGGCACGAGTGTCCCGGTGCAGCCAACAGTCGCTTTGTCAAGAGGCACAACGTCACCTATAAGTTGCATCGGGGTAATAAAAACCAAGAAAATGTGCTTTATCTAACACTTTTTAAGTTTTCGATTTTTAGGGCTATATGTCGTAAAGTTAGGAGCCAGAAGGTGCACGTCAATGGAGCAAGTTAGCGTGTTGAACAGTTATTGTCCTAACGAGAAGTTAATCGATTTGGCGCAGAGAG